GGTACTCTACTGCTTACTGGTATATTTGTAAAATCCTTACCATTCGCCTGCACTTGTTGATTTATATTTTTCCGGTAAGTTTTAAACCATTGCATTATGGTACAGAAGCCCACTATTTTGCTCAAAATTATTTTGTATTCCGAAGCTGGATTAACTTATTTGTTTCAATATAATTTGGTTCCTAAACACTGTCTGAACAAAATATAAACATTTTAAAGAAGCCCGCAACAAATTTATATCATGTTTGATGATGATACTTTAATATCTAAGATCAGTTAAAATTATTGTGTGTAATATATACTATGAAAAAACCGCATAGGTTTCAATTAAGTCAATATTTTCAGGTTAAGCATATGATTCCAGCAAGTTAAGAAATTCTTCCGGTAATTTTTTAATTTTAAGTTTTAACCTTTGTAACTGAAGTGACTAAGATGATATTAGAAGATCTTTGGAAAATTTCAGTTAAGTTAGTAACTCTGTTGTTTTTTTGGGCATGATATTCTTGATCTTTTTTATAAATTTTGTTTTTTAAACCTTGGACAACTAAAGGAATAAGAAACTTGTCTAAAAATATTAGATCATTTATATGTATGTTTAAAAATACACAGATAATCATCTAATAATAAACTATGGTGTAATAAACACAATAAAAAAATAATGGAAAAATGCATTTTCTCCCAAATACTTAACTGGTAAAATGCATTTTTCCATTATTTGTTTATTGTGTATAAGAACTTTATGAATAGATGCGGGCATCGGAAACCATGGATAGAGTTCCATGAAAATATGACCGGTTTCGAAGCAGTAGATTTCAAATTTATTTAAATTCCATGGAAGTTAACATGCCATTGAGATGAGTATTAGCCAAAAGCGTTTATTTAAATAACAGTAATATCTGAAAACAAATCATAAATTAAAAATGCTCTTCTGGCGGTATTTTCGTCGTTAGTAGACCCAAAGTCATTGTATTTTGGTTTATCGACATGTAGGCTTAGCTTTTCCCAATACAACCTTTGTACATTTTTTTCTGTTCGGCATAGTAGCTTTATTTGTCTTACCTCGAACTTGCCACATTCTGAAAATTAATCTACTTTCTTTATGTTTAAATATACCGGACATAAAGTCGGTGATAGTTAAAAATTTAGCAGAAGTAGCCCCGCATATTGGACATGCCTCACTCTATTTAGTTCCAATTAGGGTACTTAAAACTTTACCGTCTATTAATTTAAGGCAGAGATAAAAATCAACTATTACTTGACATCCATTTACCGTGAATTCAAATGGTTTAATATTTTGAATTTCCTTCTGTATGCTATTTTTTCATTCTTGATATGTTCTTTGGTTTCTTTCGCATATTAAAGTTTGATTGGTCTACAAAATCTTAGCGACTTAGGAATTAAGTTATTCCAAATAACAACACCATTACTCGTAGTTACTCTTAGTAGTATAAGAATAGTTGCAAAAACACTGGAATCTTGGGAACCTTCGGTTTTGTACAAGAACTTCTGTTATATTCAGAATGTCCAAACCTGCCATCAAAACCATAGCTTGCTACTAGAGTTGCAGAAACTTGATGTTTGCCTATGGTAATTCTGGATATTACATCTTCCTGTAATACGAAAATTCGGTTTGTGGTACTTTTGCCAAATTTTCAGTTCTCTTGATATTATCTTGTCGACATTCTGATTTAGCTTCTAAAACTTACTGGTAGGACGTGTATGTATCACAATTTGTATTTTTACTGCTCTCTCGGATAGCTATATACTGCTGCTTGAATCTGTTTTCTAGTAGAAATGATAACGCTTCTTGAGGAGTGTATTTAATTGGATCCTTGGCCTTGGTATAAAATAACACTTTTTTATTTTAGAAACTCTTGTGCGACTTTTAGTAGTTTCTCTAAGAACACATGTTGAGTCTTTATTTTCACTGGCTGTGGCAGCAGCTATGGCGGCACTTACAATTAAACTAGAATCGTGTTCTTTCTCCCTCGACAATTTCAATGCATCTCGTTTATATGACTTTAGACTTTTGTTGAAAAACGGAAATTTTGGGCGACCTACTGGTGCTGATCGTGGGGTCAACAAATTATTATTTATAATTGTGCGTGCCTCTCTACTTTTCTTGAAGATCGTGAAGCCATCCTTCGAATTTACCCAAAAAAGCTGATTTATTTTTGTCGACTTTGGACCATTTTGATTTCAAATTAACGCAAAATAAATGTGATTTAATGTAATATCTGCATTTTCATTATATTTTTTCAAAACAAAAATGGCGACTGCAACGAGTTTAAGGGTAGGGTTGTTTTCGTAAAGCCAAACATTGAAAAGTCCTTCATTTTTAAGTCGCAAAATATCTGAAACAATAAGTTTTTCAACTGTTTTGAGTTCTTGGTTAAATTGCAAGAAGAAAAAGTATTAAAAATATTATTATAATGTAATTATTACCCCTAGATAATTTTAAAAGTCAAATTCGTAGTACAAACTTTAAGAATGCTATTATTATCTTATTTTATGAAGACAATTGCAAAATATATAAATAACTAGTTAAACAATTTTTAAAATATAGAAACATTTTTCAAATAAATATTTCTATCGAATAGTTTTTTCAGAATACCCGTCATAAAAAAAAAATTTAAATCCAAAAAACCCTATTTACGCGCTGCTACGCAATTTATTTTTATAGGAAATAAGTCTAGATTTCAAAGAAATAAAAAACGCCAATATTAGATCTGACACTTGCTGACACTTTTTTGTATCTTTATTTTTAGTTAATAAATTGCAAGAAAGAGATCATATTTAGATTTTAAATAATTACGACTTAAAATTACTGAATGTTTCAGTGTATTTTACATAAACAAATTAATTAACCTTACCTTGATCAATATTGGTCATTATCAAAATTCATAGAAAAATAATCGTTTTAATATTGCAAATTTACAAACTTCACCTACAAATAAACAAAAATGACACACAATGTCAACTTTTGCTTGTTTTGATGCCAAGGCTACTAGATATTTGAGTGAAAGTTTTATGGAATAATATGAGCTGATGATTTGTCAAATGAATTATGCTACTAATGTTGTCAAATTATTATTTTCATTATTTGTTAATTTTGGACAGATTTAGGATCTCCTGTACCATAGTGCAGGAGAAACCCATATTCCACAAAATTTGTAGTTTTTTAATAAAAAATTTATGGTTAACACAATCAACAGGCTTTGCGAGGTCACAAAATCCTAAGGCAGTGATATATATATATATATATATATATATATATATATATATATATATATATATATTTCATTAAGAATGGAAAACATTGGGTCACCGGTATATTTTTCAGATAGCAAGCCATTCAGATAAGCTACTAAGGCGTTATGTTGGAGGTGGTTTTTTTGGTAGGTAACGAGGCAATAGGTCTATAATTACAGGTTTTGAGTTTGTCGCCACCCTTATAAAGTAGGATTATTATAGCTGTTTTTAGACAGTTGGGAAAGATACCAAATTCAAAGAATTTATTAATCGGCGAAGTTAAAATATTGATTACTACATCAGGTATATTTAAAAATATTTTAGTGGACAAGTCATCAATTCCACAGGAATATTCATTTTGGATGTTCTTAGGCATAATGTATCTGTAAGGTAGGTTAGGAGGAGAAGAGAGCATCCTCTCTTGAAGCTGTTTTAGAGTTGATATTCTTACTTACATTTACGAAATAATTGTTTACTTCATCTGGACTTGAATTTACATTGTTTGAGGAACGGGTTTTATTTCTTAAGTATTTTATAACAGAACGTTTCTTTGAAGGAGTTTTTAGCTCTTGAGATGCGATTTTTGTTGTACTTTTTCTTAGCAGATTTGATAATTTGTCGATATAGTTGTTGATATAGTTTAATATTAGGATATTATCTGTGAATTTTTTAACATGCATAAGTAATCTCATATTTTTAGACGAGTTTCTTATTCCTTTAGTTGTCCAAGGTTTACGGTGTTTACATTTAATGGGGCGAAGAGGAAATGCTGTATTCAAACACCTATTTTATTTAGTGTCAATATCTTCAGAAAGATTATTCCAATCAAAATGATGTTGAAAGAAAATTCTACTCAACTAACAGACTATAACAATTTTGGCAAAAAAATCTTCGTGGTCTGAGAGCCCTGAGCTAATTACTTGGTGCTCCACATGAGCGGATTTAAAATTAGATCAATAATAGTAAATGTTGTTTTTGTGATTCTAGTTGGTGAATTTACGTGAATAGTGAGACTAAATGATTCAAGAATATTTGTCAGAGACTTTTGAGTAGCACACTTATTGACATTGATATTAAAATCGCCGCAAAAAATATTCCTTCTTTTTATGGGCAGTGCATCAAGTAGATTAAGAAGGTTCTCGAGAAGAAGGTGTACATTTGATTTGGGTGTTTTATAAAGACATTGTCACTTTCAAAAGATGTTTTTAACAGTTGAATGCAGTCAACTTATATATGTGATACTGAATAATTAGATAAGTAACAACTGTATATGTAGATTTTCTAAAGAAGTTAAATTCAAACCTCCGATCATTGCAATAAAAAAAGTTAAATCTAGAAAGTTTATAGAATTGTTGTTTCCTACTTCTAAGGTAAATTTGATGTTATTCCAGCGGCATCGGTAAAAATTTGGGGCCTCCCCGCAAAATTATGTGACAATGTAAGTAGTAATTGTCAGGAGCGTATCTAAACATGTTTTTTTAGGGAGAGGGGACTCATACAATACATTTATAAGAAGAAGATAAATTAGAATCAACCGTAAAGAGAAAACATAGGAAATATGAGGTTTGATAGGGCCCCAGGTTCCCCTGGCCTCCCTCTAGATCATCCACTGCTAATTGTTATTATTGTCATAAAATTAAAAAATATAAATAACGCAAAAATATAGAAAATAATGTAAAAAAACTTACTAATGCAAAATCTGCTAATCAATGTTGCTTTCCAAATCGCCGTTTCTTCAAAATTAAAAAATTATTGGCGCATTAATTTTTGGGCACGATCATGCTCGATTCCTAATATAGCCAAATCACTAAGTCTTATTGCACTCATAGTACTCCGCAAATAAGTTTTAATGAGTTTCAGTTTCGAAAACGACCTTTCTGCACTAGCGGACGAGACAGGTAACGGTAAAAATAATTGGAACAACGAACGTACATCGGGAAGACTGCTCAGAAGGAATCTATTTTCTGTTATAAAATACGTTGCTAAGTCGTGTATGGTCTTCTTGTTTCGAATTTCGTATGATAAGGCGGCCTTGAAGCTTATTAATTCTGCAGCTAAACTTTCAGAAATCAGATTCATATTTGTGCAATAATGATTCCTTAAATAATTGAATTTGAAATCTCAAGGAATTTTCTATTCGGGAGTCTGATACGCAAGTAGAGGGTTTAGAATTAAAACATGATTAAAAAATATTTTACATGTATCTGACCTATAATAAGGCGTTGTTGGTTATTTCTCAGGCGTTGGGTACTTAAGGGGATGATTACAATAAAAACTAATCGATTGCCTTTTACGTGGCTTTATTTATGTTGAATACTAGGATCCGGATAGTCTGATTCTGTCTTCTTTTTATTTTATCTGCCATGTGGTAGATAATGAGGTTATGTTACAAGATGAAGTTAAATGTCACAAATATTTTATAAATTTTTGTTTTAAAAGCTGAATAATCTCAATTTGGAATATTAAAACATGAGGTAATAGAACGTCGGAAAATATGTTTAATAATTATGGATGTTTGGAGAAATAAGAGGAAACGTAAAAATATAGAAAAAGAAGAAAAAGGCCTGAGAGAGAAACGTAACTATCTTTATATATTATTAATAATAAGTTTTTATTTAAAGTACCTTTGATGGGGTGTGGCCGCTAAGATTAATAAATTTGCTCAGGGTCTCCTGATCAATAGTTTATGGAAGTTTGTCACAAATTCCAAAAAATATTAATAATAATTTTTCTTAGTGTTTTTTAAAAGTAAATTAAACAAATTCATTTTATTTTTTATTCAGCATTTTTTATTAAAGTCAAAACATAGATAATTAAACAAATTTAAAACCGATTACAAAATACTGCCGAATTGCTAATATACGTAGGAAATAATAAGAAAATTATATTGCTTAATTAGAAAAATATCAGGTCATCAACCACATAATTTAAGTTTGATTAAACTACGTATAATTTTGCAGATCGGCAATATTCAAAAAATTAGATATTAAAATAAAACACGGAAGTTAGTTGTAAACTCGACAGCGGAAAAGGTGGACTCAAAATAGACTCCACTAAGCCATCTTTTTTGATATAATTTAAAATCCTTTAAAATTAAAAAAGTAATAATTTAAAATCCTTTAAAATTAAAAAAGTAATAATTTAAGATCCTTATAAATTAAAAAAGTTTTCCATTGTGCCTTTTTGGGGAAGATTGTGACGTGCCCCAAACTTGAGAAATGTGGTAAGTGTACCAAGATATTTAAAATTATTGTTAAAATAAATAAGGTGTGGTTGATATTAAATAAACTTCATATTTTCTTATATTTTGTATTTTCTTTCAACAACGAAACTGGTACAAAAAACACGACCTCGTGACAATACGTGAGAATAAATCCAACCGTTGGTTGATGAATTTCTATTCAATAGAACAATTCGAAATCTCTTGAATCGAAGAACTTTTGGAAAATCCAGAAAAATGTTGAGACACTTGTTCTTGACGAAAGCTCTCACAAGAAGAACAAAATGGCATATTCCCTTTTGATAAGACCCTCCAAATTATTAAATAGTTTGTTAGTTTATAAGTTCCAATATTCGAAAAGAGACTAACTTATGTCTTATCTAGTTGGTAGACAAAGACAAAACATTTTAATTAAAAGTTTAGTTCTGGTACATTTCTTAGAACTGGTTGATGAATGAATGATTACTTAATTCATACGACTAATCATTCATTCTAATTGTCATTCATTAAAATCGACTTTTGTGACTTATGTCATGTAGATATTATGAAAATGTAAACAAAACTAATTCAATAATTTGGTTACCTTTCGAAATGATTTTAAGTTGTTTTAAAATGTAACAAATAGTAAAAATTGTTTATTATTAAGATACTTATGTCCTCTTTCCTTCTAGATAAATTCTACATGGATTCCCAATTTGTAATCTACATGGATTCTCAAGTTTGAAATAGTAAGGAAATTTTAATGGAAGTAAACAAATGATAAAATATGAAATAATTCACTAGATTTATTTTAAGTAGCATTTATTTTAGGTTTTAGAAATGCAGTTTATGTTAAATGAGTCCTAAATATATCCTATTAATCCTAAAATTTCTTTTATGCTGTAACAAGTCAGCTGCCAGTTCATCAAAAAACATATTGACTTTCTTTTATGGTTTCGATGTCAGTTTTGGTTTAATGTTTTAAATCACAAAACAGTCAATATGGTTGTTTTATGATTTGAAACTAGTCAAATATTTTGACAATTTATTTTTTTTGTTTGATTTTCTTCATTATATTTTTGCGCGACTAGCAGAAAGTTAAATTTCAAAAAACCCGCGCTAAGCGGCCATATTGAATTTTAGTACCACTCCAATTTGATAGATGGCAGCACATCGACTCAGAATATTACCATTGAGTTTCCCATCTATTCACATTAGTAATCTATGGGTGTAACCATGCGTCCATACATGGCAGACAGATAGGCGAGTCGAGAGCTACTGTCTCTATTTTTCCCACGTCTAAACCAAAAGGAACTCCCCGAATATCCACTTAAAAAGTCTAAAGAGTGTTCTTGTTGATCTTTTTTTGACCATGTCATATAATATTATGATTTAATAAAACCTTGTCCAACTACACGTTTTATTATTTTATTGAATATTTGTTTGGCGCGCTTGCCTTTGGACAAAACTTTACAAATCATAACATACTTATTCACAGGGTGTTATATTTATACGTAAAAATATAATTAAGCGTCCCATATTTATTTTGCTGGGCGAGCCGGTTAATATATTGTATACCTGTAACAACATTTATTTGTCGTGCGTAATTCATTGTTATTTAGGTTATTAAGCTTTTCGAAATTATGCCTAAGAATATCAGCACTTTTCAATGCAGACTTTTTCTTTTCCATTTATTTTTTTACCGCGTACTCTAAATTTTATATATTTATATTTTATTATTTTTAAACATTGAATAAAACTGTTTAAAATAAAAACACAATGAAAAAATATATAATAGGAAAATATGTAATGGAAACATTAAAAATAATGTAAATGAATATAAATAAAACTGGAAAAGCATCGTGAACTAAATTACATTTGCCTTTTACTAATCAGCAAATGGCTGAAAATTAACAAGCAACAGTAAAAGGCATTTTCTTATTCAAACAACCCTATGAGAATGTAAGCAACTCATATAATCTGTCCTCAAGCTACGTTCCATTCTGAGCAAAATGCGAACATTTTCGGGTTTATATATTCACGGCAACGCTCAAGATTAAGACGAAGCATGGGCAACTCTGATGTGTGTTAAGGGATTACCATGAAACTTACAACTTGATGGATATAATTTTGGAAGCGGTGTACACTGCAAACACTGTTGAATATTTATTATGCGATATTCATATAGACAGATGCGATGGAATATTTGAAAATCTGAGTCTTAGAGAGCTCCGTCTATATTAATAATTTATGTGTTTTATGATTTAATTGGATAAAGGGTAATGCTGCATGTAGATATGGAATCGTCAGTTTCATATAGTGGAAGCAAAGGGTAAAATAAATATCTCTTACATATTAGTGTTTAGATAAATAAAATAACTTTTTATTTATAGAAATTTATTACATAGCTCATACCAAAATAAAATTATTATAACTTTAGTATCTAGGAAAAGTATATTAATACATTGGTGAGCAATTTACAAAACCGTAGTTACAATTATTTTCTTACAATTGGTAGATGCCTCCATAAAATAACATTAAACGAATCAAACATTTAACAATTCGTATTGACATAGAAACTTTTTAGATCCATTTAAAAAAACAGAAGACAAATGACAGGTAGGGTCTTAAACTGAGATATTAATAAACGTTAGAATTTCAATACAAATACATATAATATTAACTTCCAGGGAATCTAGAATAAAACCAAAAATTATATAAATTATTGTGATCAATGAGAAAACAGGCTCGTCATTTACAGACCATTAGTCGTTGACCATACAAGGCTATACCAGCAATTAAAAAATATAAGCTTCTAGAAACGCCTACTGATAAAGCCATAACCACATACAAATGTCAAAAGAATTCAAATATTATCTCGAGGATCTTGAAAACAGAGAGTACCCATGAAGGCTGAACTTTTCTGGTACCTATACAGTAGTTCGAAAACAACATCGCTGAGTGGAGAACACGCAAGAACACTGTAATAGAGATAAAATAAAACAGCAAGTATTAGGAAAAACTATTGCCATCTGCTCTGACAGTCAGAAGCTTCTCTAAAGGCAATTTTCTCACCAGAAATCAAATCATGACTGGTAAAAGACTCCGCAGAAATCGAGTAGTCAAAACAAAGTGACCTTAGCCTGGGTACCAGGCCTCGTATGATATCAGGCAAAGCTCCTTTATTTACATTTAAAACCCGGTCATACATTGCAAAGAAACGTAGCGCGTAGCTATTTCGTAAATGAACCGACATGCGTTTCCTGGTGCGCTGTTGTCAGGCTGTGTAGTTTATCCCTTTCATATTTAAAAATAGTTTTTACCTATAACTCACTAATAGCAACAAGTTTTATTAATTAGAATCGTTTCGAGATATATTACGACACATCAAGCGTCCCCATCAATTCATTTTCGTACCTAGTGCAGTGTTTCCAACTCCGACGCATTGTGGACAGAGATGTTGCAATATTTCCCGAAACATTTCTAATAGTAAATCCCTAAATAAAATGACTTGTAACAAAACAAAAAACGTATAAAATGTGTACAAAGTAGATTAAGCTATTTTAACTGCTTTCAGCAGACTTGATATTTTAGCAGCACCTATTTTTACACCATTAAGCAGGGCATTTTTGTACCTATCGTTTTTACATACATACGCTTGCTAAATAACAACTTTGCAAATAGTAAGCTAAACACTATGAAAAACACCATTATTATTCCTGCAAATAAATGCAAGGATTTCAAAAGCGTTCAACGTGATACTACCGCAATTTAAAATAACCTTCTTTCATTCATACTATACATCACGGACGTCACGTATAGTATTTTATCCGTCGATAGTTTGCGTCGTTGCGATACAGTATACTTTTGCATTTTGGGT